ATTTTGAAAACCAACACTTTCAATCCAAAACTAAAATGAATTTATATAGGACCAAAAGGCATTACATGTATTAAGAATCGCTTACTTACATTAAATAGCAAAACAATCCTGCCCAAAAGGGTTGTAATGAACTGGCTGTTGTCCATACAGCCAATGCTCACTGCTTGTATTTTTACGATTTCTGTTCAACATGTTAAGATCACACTTGTGCCGAGAAAACAGCAAAAATCAAAGGTCGTTTAGTCCTTCGGTTGTCCTTAAGAAGTCACGTAGCTCAGCAAAAATCTTCTTCTTAAGAAAAACTTATTTTAATGACTGTATTTTCGTTGATGTGTTGTTATGCTTTACAGATTGAAAGGAAACCACTTTCCACGATCAATCGCCAAGAAGTAACATTCAAAAGATGCCGATTGCATTTTTCCCCACTGCTTTTCGCTGTAATATCTTCAACTTACTTAAGCAGTTACTTTACAAAGATGCTTTTGACAATTTTAAGTGATCAGTTGGTCTTTTTAAGTCCTTTTTATGGCTTTTTCAGTCTTTTTTTACGACTTTTGACGGTAAAATCGTTCTTCAGAAAATTTGTTTTTGAGCCGTGGCTCTTTTTTTYCCCAAGAAGCGGTGAGCTCAACACTCAGATGGATTCCTTGATATAATTGGCTAGAAAATGACATGTCTCTCTTGTGATTGGTTCATATCAGTTGATGTGCAAAATCGTGCAATTTAGAGCTCAAAATCGTGCAATTTATGCCGAAATCACTGCTGCAGGGAACCAATCAGATTGCAGGATTTGCTTGTGATTTCAAAATGGATGTAATAAAGATTATATGGGGAAAAAAAAAGAAAAAGAAAAGGTTGGTCTCAGATAACAAAATCTAAAAACATGTAAACCACTTACCTGCTGACAGTTTCCTTTTCCTTTTYCTTTGCTGGATAGGCTTTCGCGAGGAGAAGGAGACCCTTCCCCCAAACGTCACCTTTTCTGTTGCGCATGTTTGATCATTACTATAGGCAAATGATGACATTGAAAATAGTGGGCTCATTATAGTCCGCAGTTATTGTAAAAAGATATGCTCACTAGTATTTTGGGCTCAAAAATCTTACAGCAGACTTTGCGGTTGTCATGCGTAGGGGTGTTCAATTCCAAAATCGGTTTCAAAACAGTAATGATAAAAAGGTAAATTTAACACCGTGAAAAGATTAAAAAACGAAAGAAAAAACTTACTGACGTTTCGGACGCTAGTCCTTCGTCGGAGTAAAAGAGGGTTTCAAAACAGGTGTTTTTGTCCACAACCATGGACAGCGGATTAGATCGAAYAACGTGGCAGAGGCTTCCTTTTTCCTCTCTCTCCCCTAAAAAAAGGGAACCTTTGCCGGCAGGGAGGGAAACCCCTCCATGGTGATGATAACTTTTACATCTTGTCCACCTCCCCCACCTACACTTTGACTTTACATTATGCCCCACCCCTCTAGATTTGGAACCCCTCCTTTCAGAACATTATATGACCGAAGCATGTTTTATTTACTTTCGTTTTACTTATTTAATTTCARTAGATGTTGTGCCAAATGAGGCCACGTGAATTCACTGAGTTTTCTACACATCATGCATCTTGTAAACACACCCTATCTTTCTGAAGAAGAATGTTTAGCTTAAGAACACTTTCATGCGGACTAAGAAAAAGARAGAAAATCAAATTATGGCTTAAACCTCAAGGATACAAAAGAATTATTTGCCAGTGTAAGAAAAAGATCAGAGTCGCACGGAAAAATGGTGACATACAGGGACAGCTGAAATATACTTCTCTTCTGGTAGAAATCTATTACTTGCTGAAACTTTACGCTCATGTTATCRATTACAGCAAAAGATGTATTGACGTTGCTAAGGCGGTCGGCGACAAACCAAGTGAGCTGAAGGCTTGCTATTTCCTTGTAAAAACCTATGACGTACAGAGAAAATACGATGCTGATGCTATTTATTACAGTGAGCTATGCACTAAACTCGCAGAAGAGGTTAAAGAGGTTAAAGAAAAGAAGTACTTTTTTAGAGCCTGTTATTTACTGATCAAAGCGTATGGATTACTGAATCAGTACGATTCTGCTGTGATTTATGCTAAGAAATACCTTAAATACTCAGAAGAAACTGGTGACAAAGAACGTGAGTTCAAGGCATGTTATTTACTGATAATAGCTTGTGATTWGTTGAAGCAATACGATAAAAATACGACCTTTTACTGTCAAAAATGCATTGACATCACAGAGAAGACTGGTGACAAGAAAATCAAGTTAAAGTCATGCTTGATACTGGTGAAAACGTACGAATATTTGCAGCAGTATGATGAGGTTGCCATTTCGTATTGCAAAAAATGTCTATACATTTTAAAGGAGACAGGTAACAACCCGCAAATTGAATTGAAGACGTGTTATTTACTGTTGAGAGGTTATGACTTATTGGAGAAGTACGATTATGCTATTCCATACGTCAATAGATATATGGAAATCGCAGAGAACACCACTGACACACTGAGTGAGCGGGAATGCCATTATTTCCTTGAATTTGCATTGAAGCTTGCTAAAGCTCTTTTCTTCAAGAAAAATTACGATGAGGCTGTCACTTATTGCAAGAAATGTGTTGAAATTGCTCGTCAGATGGATGACAAAAGAGGATTAACAAAGACCTATTTGTTACTTGGAAGAGTGTACTACTCCCTGAACCAGTATAATGAAGCTATCGTCTATTGTAGGAAATGCATTCTCATGGAGCTATTTGATGGTAAACAAGATGAGATCGATGCATACTCTATACTTGTGGAAGCTCACTGCTTTCAGCAGAACTACGATGATGCCATAACTAATGGAAAAAGATGCATCCGTAGGGCACATGAAACCAAACAAGAACATGCTTTAACAGATGTCTACTATTTTATYGGAGAAGCATCTTACTTTTTGAATAGGTACGATGATGCTATCAAATATTGCGAGGAAGGTATTGCCATAGCAACGCAAAATGATAACAAATCTCGTGAGATTGAAAGCTGCTTGCTGCTTGCCAAAGCGTTTTATGAACGCCAATGGTACGATGCTGCTTTAGTTAAAAGCAAAAAATGTATTCACATTGCAAATCAGGAGGGCAACAAATTATCTGAAATGGRGGCCCATTTGTTGGCTGGAAAATCTTGTTTTTCCCTGAAATACTACGAAGAAGCCAGCTTTTATGTCAAGAAATGCATCAAAATGGCACAAGAGAACGGCCACTTGAAATTTGAATTAGATGCTTGTATTGTCAATGCAAGGCTTTTTCATTCAAAAGGCAGCACAAGGGAACTTGTATCAGCTATAGCTCAGAGTCTGGTTTTAGCAGAGGAACTTCGTGATAGTCCTGCTAAGCGATCTGTTGTTGAAATAATTTTTGCTTTTCTTGAACAGCAGGACAATGGCAAGAATTCAATGACAGATAATTCSAAACCCGAATTTTATCAAACACTTGTAAGTGTTGTAAGTCTGGGCAATGAGAAGGAAACAATGAAGAAAATCGAGAAACTGATGGTTTTACATGAGAGGTACGTTCACCAAGTACAAGATGATGAATGCACAAAAGCAATTGCCACTTTAAAGCAAATAGCAGATATTGACCTAAATTCGATAAAGATTTTCCTTAAGTCATTTTGCCATCAGAAAATGGGTTGTCTTTACTTGGATCTTGACCAGAAAGAGGAAGCAATAAGCCAACTCCGTAATGCAATAGATTGCGCAGAAGAAGTTGGCTCTGCAGTTATCAAAAATAAAATAATTCTTAATTGCAGTAGAATTCTGGGGATGGCATACTTCAAAAGTGGGGAAACTGAACAGTCCATTTTCTTTTTAARAAAATTCATTGGTTGTATTGACTTCTTTGTTGAGAGCATGGAAGCTGATGAAAACACTATCATTGATTTTATTGACAAAAACAACGATTGCTACAATTACTTGGCAAAAGCTCTGATCAAGACGAATCGGATTCAGGAAGCCCTGCTAGTTTTAGAACAACGTACTGCTAGAGCTTTAAAAGAACAGTTGATGTCAAGACATGAAATTAACAAAACCGCACAAGAGCGCCATAAAGATCACTTAACATATTGTGACATCATGTCACTAGTTTCAAGAAACAAGTACTCGATTTTATTTTGTTCTGTCTTTCCTGATTGTATGTACACATTTCTTGTCGAGGAAGGCACAGTTTTGCAGTTTCGGCAATTTTCATCCCCTAAAGCAGACACTGAAAGCTTAGTTAATACAATGCTCGAAAGTTTCGCAATCAACAAGAAAATCAGAACATTGTCCGATATGGACATCAACATCATTTCCCATGAGAATAGTTCTTGTGACATAGACCAAGATATTGTGAAGGCGGTTGGAAGAATATTGGCGTATTKTGGTTGTTCTCCTCGTTCTAGAACTCCCAAGGAGCCGTGTGAAAACGTTGATGTAGGCAGTATCACAAATGATTTAGAAATTCTGTACCATAACTTATTCGGTAAAATGTCAATTAAGCAAGATGAAATTGTGATCATTCCGGATGGTCCTTTATACAAAGTGCCGTTTGCTGCYCTACGAGACCCAGATACTGGTYGGTATCTTTCAGAAACGAAACGTATCAGAATTGCCMCTTCTATAAAAACACTGAAGTTGCTTCAAGAAATTCCAGTCGACCAGAATAAAAATCCTGCTCTTGTTGTAGGCAACCCTTTGGTTGGTGAAGTAATGCTAGATGGGGAAAAGAAAAATGTTCGTCCATTAAGTGCAGCCTTTCGCGAGGCGAACGCAGTAAGTAGTATACATAATGTCATGCCA